GCTTTTATGCGATCGTTTATAATATTTGTGTAGGCAAATAGAGAAAAGTCCTTGGTTCGAAATTCTTCATCGAACCACAGAATAATCATTTTCTTCATGACCCCTTCATACACATTGTGTAAAACGTCAATTGTTGTCCCTTCGATGTAATTGTATGCTATCATTGCTAACGTAGTTAGACCTTTTACGCCAAACTGACAAATGTCCATTTCATAAGCCTGAGCCGCGTAGAAGTCATTGTCTACTGTCGTTCTAAGAGATAAATTTTCACGAAATGGATACGTTTGTACATTTTCAAATCTCTCCGTTTGTATGTAACAATTCGTACACCCATACGTCGAATTATATTGCTTAGTATTCCTAAATAACGCTGTAGCAGGTAAATCGGCCGTTCCACTAATGATCAATGCTCGAACTCTAATTGGTTGAGCCAAACTAGGAATATCAAAATAAACTCCTCGAAATAAATCGCCAAGCTCATCAATAAAAGAATTCATGAATAAATTTGGATGAGGCTTATCGTCGCCGATCCACAATCCCGCCAAAATTACGTTTTCTTTTTTTACGCGCATTTTATGAGGCAACTCATTCACCATTAAATAGAACGGCCATATACCAATTTTGGAAGATTTGAACAGCGGCAAACCATCCGTGTTCCAAGTGAACGTAACGTTACTCGGACTAGCAGTAAAATTATTCGGTACAGACTTATAAACCGAGCCGTCATAAATGTCCTCATAATTTTGAGAATCCAACTTTGGCCTGTCAAATCTATAGTTTAAGTTGTTTCTAAACTCTTCACGTTTGAAAAATGAGTGTAGCTGTTCTATTATGGATCCTCTAAGAAAGTACCGAACATTGTTCTCGTCACAAGTCGAACAATATTGTTCGTCTAATTTGGCAAAGCATACTCCGCAAAAATATTCTTTTATAATTGGCACGTCAAAATCCGCGAGTGTTTTTTTCAATTTGTAAACCGATTTTACACATTTATGAGGCTGGATACAATGTGCAGAAATTACTTCAATTAATGCTGCAAGAACGACCCCGGAGATTTTAAATCGAGTCGCGAATGTTAAAATTAATACTAAGCTTTCTCCCACACTTATCGGCGCTCCAGGATATAAAGGATCGGCAAAATGATATTGATCATCGTCCTCATCCTCACTTGAATCGTCTTCACTTGAATCGTCGTCACTTGAACTATCGTCATTTATCGACGGCATCGAACGTAATTGAATTATTTTAAACTTTATTTTTCATTTAGTGACTAATAGTAATGTTTTTTTTGCAGGGTTCGTCAACGATAAAGCTCGTAAAAAGAAATTTACGATTTCACATGACGAATATAAGAATGTGTTCTCTTATATGTGCGGAACGTTAAGAAATCCAAAAAAAAGCAAAAAAAACAAAAAAGACAAAAAAGTTAAAAAAAGACAAAAATGACAAAAGTCGTGATAAAGAAAAAAAAAATAAAAAGAAGCGCCATCGTAGCCGCGCACTGACGGTCACCAAGACTCAAAAAAAAAAAAAAAAAATTGATTGACGAAGATATGAAGATTGATTAATTTTGTTTTTTAAAAATCAATTGTTCGTGATAACGTTTCCTATTTTATTTGTTCGTTTAGTACGTTTATTTCTAACTTGAGCATGTCAAACTTACATGGCAGGTGCCGAAAGAAATTATGATGTTATTTTCAATATTATTCTTAATGATTTCTTACTGGTTTTAATAAAATTTGATCAAGTGCGGATACATTTTCCCCCCGTGAAACTACGTTGAACAAAGTTTTCCAAAGTTTTTCAAATCAGAGGCCAAGTTTTCCACACGTGAAAATTTCTGAAATCTTTACCCTTGATTTGAAAAATTTTGAAAGACTGTGTCAAACGCTTTTGTACAATGGGCAAAGTTTTTCGCACGCAATCAAAAATTGTAAATTTCCCTCGACAAAATTATGAAACCCCGAAAATTTTGACCAACGTGTTTGCACGTTGCCCAAAATTGAACTTATTCTTGGGCAAAATTTTCCGCCATTTCCCATACGGATAGAAATGTTGGAAGATATTCTTAGTGCTCAAGTTTGGCCAACTTGAGCCAAGCTCCAACTTGACCCAAGTTTAGCGCATTGAATTTTTTTTACGCGGGATGTTTCATTCTATAATGCATAATTTGGCATCCATATATTTATTTTTATTCATTAATATAACATGATAAAATACAAATAATGCTAAAATACAGCTAAAAAAAGTTTATTGTATGATTAATATTGGCTACGAAGGTGGCACCTGAAATTCAACGTTTCTGCCAATAAAACACATCAATAAACCAAAAGTATTCGCAAAAAACGTCAAAATTTATTAATAATATATCTAACGATTCACTGAGTTTATTAGCCTCATCAGAGCAATTATGAGCAGCAAACGGCTCCATGTCAACTGAGCGCAAGTTACATATGGGTAAAAACGCAAGTAATGCCCCAGCGCCAAGCGTGGGCAGCGAAAACGGCCGGATTGCTCAGTTTTTGACTCGCTCGCAAAGGGTTGAATGAAATTCAGAAAAATAAACCAACAAAGGTTTTCGATAGGTTTTAACCTCAGCTTTCTACTGGTAAGGTTAAAAATGCACGAATGAGCCTCTATAACCTCAAAAAATGGACTTGAAGATAAAAAACCGCTGCCAATGTATTGGCAAGTAGCTTCCTCATACTTTTTTTTTAACTTAAAAATAATTTGAAAATATTAATATCATCTTTCTAATTACGAAAGCGAAACGAAAGCGCCTCTTAGCTTTATCGGGTATCTCAAACAAACAATGCAAAAAAAAAAAAAATTTTTTTCTTAAATAGAAAAAAAAACGTTACGTTTATCGATAAATGAATTTTTCTGGCTTCGTCCCTATGTCATAACGAAAAAAATAAGCCCTCCCCCGTCACGATACGTGCTACCGTTATCAAGGAATCACTCTACACAGCCATACAGCCGCATACACCCACATACATTCCAAAATGTGTCAAAAATTCGATCTAGTATATAGAAATATCATTAAATATATCCTACGATAATTATATANTAAAATTTCAGAGGTCTCCTTCTCAATTACTTCTAAATTATACGCTGTTTTGTCAGCGAGCTAACTTAGAGAATTGATTATGTACTAGTTTTAAATCGAGTAGATGTTTAAATTTTTCTTATACGTACACAAGTACAGAAATGCCAGCTGCTAAGGCATGTCTAGGCAACCTTCTCTTTTCGAATTCAGATAAGAGATTCAAGCTCAGAAGCCTACCATATATTTGAGTCTGTTGTGTGTGAGTGCGCCTCCGCTTGCCTATATCATGCGTATGTCGCGAGCATGCACGGTAGCGTAGCGCGCCACTGTGTGTAGCGGCCAGCAGCAGCAGTAGCGAAGCTGACTGTGACCGACGGGCCAGTAAGGCTCCGAGCGCGAGCAAGGGCACAAGCCACAGGCGAGCGCTTGATTCCCCAGTACGACCGCACAGGTAAGCTTTGAAACCTGGTGTTACCTTGTTATTTCTAATAAAGTTCATTATTCACTCTTTTTCATTCTCGAGTCGTTATGTGTGTGTAGGCCGCGGAGAGGGGCAAACTACCTGCATAAAGCGATCGAAAATAAATTTTTAATAAATACTTTTTTTTCTAGAGAGTGCAGTAAAGATGACGAAAAAAATAAAAGTGACCAAGAATTTGATAATCGCAAAATTGAAGAGCGAAAAACACCAACGTCCAATAACACCAACGAGCGCATCAATGATCGTCCAGGGAAAAATTATTCTAATCTACCAGCAATTGTGAGTCCATCAAAACCGATGGTTAAGGGGTCTTCGATGTCTCCAGACTCCAGAAAAAAATTTTCAAGGTGACACACATTCTCATTTACACTATTCCCCTCTTTTTTGGCAGAGTACACACAAATATAATGTTTAACTCTCCCCTAAAATTATCTATTTTTCTCTCCAACACTTGGTTATGAGTAATATTTATTTATAGTAATTACCGTCAACAAAACTGTAATGAGGCAGGAGAAAAAATTCCATCGGCTTCTGAGGAATTCAATCACTCCATTCTTTCAAAGTACACAAATAAATCCGAATCAACTTGTTCTTCAAAAGCAGTTTCCGATTCAGCTAAAAAAATTATAAGGTACAACAACACAGTTTCTGTTTTATAATTAAGCTTTTATCATCTTTCTCTCTATATTGCTCTGACTCTTAACACTCATTCGAATGTACTAAAATTTGAAGAAACTATAGCGCCGGATATATGCCGCAAATAATTTAACCACACGTTCGTGGCCAACATTTTTTTTGTCTCGTTTTCTCGCGAGTAATATATGTGTCTTTAAAATTTCTTTGCGCTTCATCTAATGAATTGATATGTATTTAAAATTTCTTTGCGCTTCTTGATGTTTAGCAAGCTCGAGAAGCTCAGCAAGCTCAAGAAACTCAGTGAGATCGGGTACCTCAGTTTGCTCTGTAAAAAGCGTGGTCTCTGAAGAAAAACCTAATGGCGAGCCTCAATCTGTCTCTAATGATGAAGACAATTCAAAATGCATATGCTCAACATTAACACCTGGTAAATAAATTTTTCGAGCATAATTATTAGATTCTTTTTACAATCGTCCCTACTGGTCACTTTATGATTTTCCTGAAGGTAATTAAAAGTCTCATATTTAGCTAACCGACAACACGTTCTTTGTTGTTTGTTTCCTTCCAGGCATACCAATAAAGTGACCAGTAATCATGAAAGTGAAAATGAACTATAAAACAATGTATTTATTTTTCATTTTCTAGAAAATAAGGAGAAGGTTTCAAACTTTTTAAATTTGTGTTGACCTTTATTGGCACAACGACGACCCCTGTCAATTCCTGCTCGGCTACTGTTACATCGATTGACCGATCAGGTATAATTTTGATTTTCATAAAATTAAAACAAATTATTATATTAATGTGTATAATTTTAAATTTCAGATAGTATTAGTACCAGGATACGGTGTTATGGTGAGCAAAAGAAAAGTGGACAGTATCTACGATCGATATCACACTAAGCCGAGGATACTGGTGAGGGAGCTGTACTATCATATCGTAGGAAGAGATAAACTTGCAAATTATTCACTCACGGGAAGAGGAGGAGGAACAAGCGCAATACCCGAAAATATTTTCGACGGCATCGAACGTAATTGAATTATTTTAAACTTTATTTTTCATTTAGTGACTAATAGTAATGTTTTTTTTGCAGGGTTCGTCAACGATAAAGCTCGTAAAAAGAAATTTACGATTTCACATGACGAATATAAGAATGTGTTCTCTTATATGTGCGGAACGTTAAGAAATCCAAAAAAAAGCAAAAAAAACAAAAAAAACAAAAAAGACAAAAAAGCTAAAAAAGACAAAAAAGACAAAAAGGACAAAAATGACAAAAGTCGTGATAAAGAAATAAAAAATAAAAAGAAGCGCCATCGTAGCCACAGCACTGACGGTCACCAAGACTCAAAAAAAAAAAAATTGATTGACGAAGATATGAAGATTGATTAATTTTGTTTTTTAAAAATCAATTGTTCGTGATAACGTTTCCTATTTTATTTGTTCGTTTAGTACGTTTATTTCTAACTTGAGCATGTCAAACTTACATGGCAGGTGCTGAAAGAAATAATGATGTTATTTTCAATATTATTCTTAATGATTTCTTACTGGTTTTAATAAAATTTGATCAAGTGCGGATACATTCTCCCCCCGTGAAAATACGTTGAACAAAGTTTTCCAAAGTTTTTCAAATAAGAGGCCAAGTTTTCCACACGTGAAAATTTCTGAAATCTTTACCCTTGATTTGAAAAATTTTGAAAGACTGTGTCAAACGCTTTTGTACGATGGGCAAAGTTTTTTGCACGCAATCAAAAATTGTAAATTTCCCTCGACAAAATTATGAAACCCCGAAAATTTTGACCAACGTGTTTGCACGTTGGCCAAAATTGAACTTATTCTTGAGCAAAGTTTTCCGCAATTTCCCATACAGATAGAAGTGTTGGAAGATATTGTTATATACCAATAACCCAGCGTTGGGTATAGTAAAATTTAAATATAATAATTAAAATAAGACCGTCAAATTAACACGTATGACGCCTGATCTCGCGGGTAAAGAGGCATGTGTGTAAGATGAACACAGAGACAGGCAAGCGCTGTCGCATGAATGTGTGTGTGAATGTAAGCGGCCAACACACATCGGCGCATTAGATCGAACCCGCGTGCATATGTGTATCAGCCGAACACAGAGCAAGGCAAAGGTTGAAGGTATGTACGGACGTGCGCGAGCAACATTACCGACGCATTAGATCAAGTCCCCGCACGCGTATATATTCCGTGTGTGTGTACTCGCGTGTGTGTGTGTGAGTCGAACACAAAAAAGACATAACACACACATGCGAGACGAGACTCGTGGAATGATTCGAATTGGTACAAAGGGGCGAAGCAAGTTCGCACCCGCACTCGCAAGTCCCATATCTCCCCCAAGTTTGACCTTTGACCTCAGATAACCATTGGGCACACTGGTCTAGCGGAAACTGAGTCAACAAGTGACGAAATAGCTGGTAGATTTGCGACTTGTGGGAAAAACCCAAGACGTACCCCCGCCAAAAGGTCCATGATTTAATTAGTATATAACGTGCATAAAAATTAGGCCTCGGGGCAGATCATTTTATACAGTCGAGTAGGGCGAAGCTCTGGGCAGATCATCTAAGAGAGTCGAGTAAGGCGAAGCTCTGTGCGCGCGAATAATCAAATCATTGTAATAGCGACTTTGCAATATTTAACGGACTTGTAATACAACTCGAATTGCACATATTGTACTTAGTGAGAACCAAGCGCGAATCAATAACAGCGACTAACTTGTACTTGTACTTATACGCCGCGACCATCGAAATTGTTAATTGTATTCGCGAACGGTAAAGCTCGAGTGAGTGCTTCACCCAGCCTAGCAGCGCAACAGCCCAACAGCAGCCACGACCGTCACGACAACATCCACCGCCACCACCGAGGCAGCCGCGACCGACGGCCAAGCAGCATCAGCGCAGCGCACCAGTAACAGCGACAACCGTAGCGTCCCGACGGCGTTTGCAACCCTACAGATCGACGAGCATCGGCCACACTTATTTTGTAAGCTTGTTCAATAGTAATTAGTTTTCTTGTAATAAAGTTTTGTGTGTAAATCTCACTTGAGCGTTATACACTTTATTTCATGTTCCCTCCCCACTCGGACACAACAGAAAATAATATTTAATATTTGAATAATAAAGTTGTTACCCAGTGGTAACGGGTATATAACAATATTCTTAGTGCTCAAGTTTGGCGAACTTGAGCCAAGCTCCAACTTGACCCAAGTTTAGCGCATTGAATTTTTTTTACGCGGGATATATTTCAATCTGTTGGGAGATCGCATAAGCTTTACTAAACCCCAATCTTTTGATACGCTGAGATAAAATTTCAGAGGTCTTTTTCTCAATTACTTCCAATATGTACGATGTTTTGTCAGCGAGCTTACTGAGAGAATTGATTATGTACTAGTTTTAAATCGAGTAGATGTTTAAATATTTCCAATACCGTACACAAGTCCAGAAATGCCAGCTGCTAAGGCATGACTACGCAATCTTCGGAAGTGGAAGAAGACGAGCGGTAGCACCACGATACCCCCCTTCTATGTGGAACCAGTACAACGCAGTTCTTCAAAATCAATCACGAACTTACAACATGTCCGAAGGGTGGCACAACCGCTTCCAAGTACTTCTGGGGAATTATCGCCCGAGTCTCTATACATTTTTAAAGGCTATGCAAAATGAGCAAGGTGACATTGAAACAATGCGACGACAAATTAGTCTGGGCCAGAAAGTTAAAAGACCTCCACTGCAAAAAAATCAAGCTTCAGAAGATAGGATATTGAACACTGTATTACGATATCAAAATTATGTTGACAGAAACGGGATATTAGAGCACCTACGAGCAATTGGTTATAATTTAATATAATCGAACTTTTAATATAATCGATTGCCACTTTCAAGGCAAAAAGTGAGGTAATGTTCATAAATATCGAGGATACTAGCGAAAATTCGTATTAGAACAAAATTTTATCATGAACTCCTACCTCACTTTGAGCAGACTATGTCAGAGTATCTAAGTGTCGAAAACTACACTTACTGACGTTTTCAAGGCTCTATTACCTGATGGGTCGATGATACTTGTATGTTTTCGTGTTTTTCAATGTCAAGTGCTCAATTTCTCTTGAACTTTGTCGGGCAGTTCGTTAAGAAAACGGCATCCCATGAGATGATTGCCACTTTTCAGGCAAAAAGTGAGGTAATTTTCATAAATATCAAGGATACTAGTAAGAATTCGTATAAGAACCAAACTTTAACATAATCTTTCACCCCACTTTGTACGCCGGCAGACCATGTCAGAGTATCTCAGTGTCGAAAACTACACTAACTGACGTTTGAGTGTCTCTATTACCAGAAAGGTCGATAATACTTGTATGTTTTTGTGTATTTCAAGGTCAAGTTCTCAATTTCTCTTAAACTTTGTCGGGCAGTTCGTCAAGAAAACGGCATCGCACGAGATGATTGCCACTTTTCAGGCGAAAAGTGAGGTTATTTTCAAAAATATCAAGGATACTAGTGAGAATCCGTATTAGGACCAATCTTTAACATCATGATTTAGCTAACTATTTACGCAGGCAGACTCTGTCTGAGTATGTGAGTGTCAAAAACTACACTATCTGACGTTTGAGTGGCTCTAGAACCTGATAGCTCGATAATGCATGTTTTCGTGTATATCATGGTCAAGTGCTCAATTTCTCTTAAACTTTGTCGGGCAATTCATCAAGACAACGGCATCTCATGAGATGATTGCAACTTTTCAGGCGAAAGGTGCGGTAATTTTCATAAATATCAAGGATACTAGTAAGAATTTGTATTAGAACCGAACTTCAATATCATCTTTCACTCCACTTTGTACGCAGGCAGACCATGTCAGAGTATCTCAGTGGCGAAAACATCACTAACTGACGTTTGAGTGTCTCTATTACCTGATAGGTCGATAATACTTGTATGTTATTGTGTATTTCAAGGTCAAGTGCTCAATTTCTTTTTAACTTTGTCGGGCAGTTCGTCGAGACAACGGCATCTCATGAGATGATTGTCACTTTTCCGAGGAAAAGTAAGGTAATTCTCATGAATATCAAGGATACAAGTGAGAATTCGTATTAAAACTAAACTTCATCTTGAACTTGCACACCACTTTTTTGCAGGCAGACCATGTCAGAGTATCTGAGTGTTGAAAACTACACTAACTGACGTCTTCGGGGCTTTATTACCTAATAGGTCGATGATACTTGTATGTTTTTGTGTATTTTAAGGTCAAGTGCCCGATGTCTCTTAAACTTTGTCGGCAGTTCGTCAAGACGACGGAATCTCATGAGATGATTGCCACTTTTCAGGCGAAAAGTGAGGTAATTCTCATAAATATCAAGGATACTAATGGGAATTCGTATTAAAGCCAAACTTCGACATTTTCTTTCAGCTCACTTTGTACGCAGGAAGACCATGTCTGAGTATCTGAGTGTCAAAAACTACACTTACTTACGTTTGAGTGGCTCTATTACCTGATAGGTCGATAATACTTGTATGTTATTGTGTATTTCAAGGTCAAGTGCTCAATTTCTTTTTAACTTTGTCGGGCAGTTCGTCGAGACAACGGCATCTCATGAGATGATTGTCACTTTTCCGAGGAAAAGTAAGGTAATTCTCATGAATATCAAGGATACAAGTGAGAATTCGTATTAAAACTAAACTTCATCTTGAACTTTCACACCACTTTTTTGCAGGCAGACCATGTCAGAGTATCTGAGTGTTGAAAACTACACTAACTGACGTCTTCGGGGCTTTATTACCTAATAGGTCGATGATACTTGTATGTTTTTGTGTATTTCAAGGTCAAGTGCCCGATGTCTCTTAAACTTTGTCGGCAGTTCGTCAAGACGACGGAATTTCATGAGATGATTGCCACTTTTCAGGCGAAAAGTGAGGTAATTCTCATAAATATCAAGGATACTAATGGGAATTCGTATTAAAGCCAAACTTCGACATTTTCTTTCAGCTTACTTTGTACGCAGGAAGACCATGTCTGAGTATCTGAGTGTCAAAAACTACACTTACTTACGTTTGAGTGGCTCTATTACCTGATAGCTCGATAAGACTTGCATGTTTTCGTGTTTTTCAAGGTCAAGTGCCCAATTTCTCTTAACATTTGTCAGGCAGTTCGTCAAAACAACGGCATCTCGAGAGATAATTGCCTCTTTCCGGCGCAAAGTGAGGTTATGTTTATAAANTCATCGAATCAGACCAAAAAAATCTTTTCGAGACCGAAAATTCATGCTCTTGCTCTATGTACTTTGCTAATCTTACAGCGCACACTGCAGCTTGCAACTCTAACCTGGGAATAGTATTGGTACTTTTCGGCGTGACAACTCGACCTTTTGCCATAATAAACGCGACGTGAAATTTATCCTCAGCCACTTGAAAACGCCAATATGCTACAGCTGCGTACGCAGCTGAGCTTGCGTCACAGAAAATGTGCAACTCCGCAGTTTTAAATTGAGCAATAGGACTCTGATAACAACGGTCT